GGTCCAGGGATTCCTTCATACCTCCTGACGAATGCTGCGCTGTATGTGGGAGTGAGTGGGACTGCCAGACCCGAGGGTGTATTTTTAGCGTTTTTAAAAGTAGAATCCTTTACACTCCCACGAGAGGGATATGATCATCTCCATCTCTGTCCTCCCATACTTATCCCATCTGCTTGTTAAGTTACCTCCTGGTTTGAATTTCCATTTCCCTGATTACTAATGAAATTAAGCAAATGCAGAGAAGCATGTTGAGGTTCTTGTTGGAATAACATTTAATCTATGGATTGATATGGAGAAAATGTTTTTTAAAACTGAGCCTTCTAATACATTGCATAGTGTATCTAGATAGTGCTGTTCAGTCTCTCTTAGTAATGTTCATTGTTTTGTGTGTAGAGGCATTACATGTTATTTGTCCCATTCATTCCTAGGTATTTTATATTTTTATGTTATAATTGTTATTTTTAATTTTATTTTCAGATTTGTTGCTGATGTGTAGCAATATACAGACCTTAAAATTTTACCTTTGTGTTCAACTGTGATTCTGTAGTTTGTTTAGATTTCCTGTATATGTACTTATGTAAGCTGGACATAAGGATAGTTTTATCTGTTCCCCTTCCAAATTACGATACTTTTTTGTAATTTGTTTATTAGTACATGCTCCAGGGATAACGTTTACCCCCTTGTGGGGAGCTGGTGCCTGCACATAACACATCTCACTTCCATTCTTACCCCTCCCTCCCTCCCTCCCTAGGACCCCTTCCCATCTGAGAAAGCTCTGTCTCCTTACATTTTATCATCTCTCTTTCATTTTGTTCTTTATTTATAATTTGAGTTTCTCATATAAGAGAAACCATGCAATATTTAAGCTTGTGTGTCTGATTTATTTCACTTAATGTTAAGGTCTCAAGGTGCACCCGTTTTTCTACAAATGACCCAAATTTATCTTTGTTTATGGCAGAATAGTACTCCATTGCATGTAAATACCACCTTTCTTTAACCATTCATCTGTTGATGGACGTAAAGGCTGCTTCCAAGATTTTGCTATAATGAACTGTGCCGCTATAAACATGGTTGTGGAGGTATCACTGTAATATGACGTCTTTAACTCTGGGGAAGATATCTAGAAGGAGAATAGCTGGATCAAATGGAATTTCTATTTTACTGTTTTGAGGACTCTCTGTACTGATTTCCATAGTGGTTATACCAGTTTACACTCCTACCAACAGTGTAGGAGTTTCTTTTTCCCCCACACCCTTGCTAGCATTTGTTATAATTTGATTTCTTGATGATATCCAGGCTTTCTGGGGTGAGATGGAATCTCAGTGTTGCTTTAATGCACATCTCTCTAATGGCCAGAGATATGTCGGGCATTTCTTCATGCACTGAGTGGCCATTTATTCTTCATCTTCTGTGAAGTGTCTGTTCATTTTACTCACCCAATTTTTGATTGGGTTTTTTATTTTGAGGGATTTAAATTTTTTTGGAGTTCTTTACATGTTCTGGATATTAGTCCTCTGTCTTAGGAATAGCTGGCAAAATTTTTCCCCATTGTATAGGTCGTCCTCACTCTGTTGGTTGGCTGTTTTGCTGGGCAGAAGCTTTTGGGACTATAACTTTACCACCAGAGTCCTGTTCACAAAGCCTTTCCTTATGGCTGTGACCTCAGGAGCTTTACCTTCTAGCAGGTTTTTTAAATTTCATTTTATTGCCTTTAGAAAGACTAGGACCTTCACTTGTTGGGATTTCCACAGTAGTAGGGTGGCTAGCAGTTGTAGTAGTTGGCGGTTTCAAAGAAGAAATATTAAAATTTTTTCTGTTAAGTATGGTATTGTATGTTGCTGGATTTAGTTTGCTAAGGGTTTATTTTGGGTTTTTGAATCTAGGTTTATGAATGAGAAAATCCTGTAATTTTCTTTTTTTATAATGTCCTGTTAAACTTTAAAGATTTTTCTAGATTCTTAAAGGAAATTGAGGAGTCCTTCCTCTGCTATCTAGAAGAATTTGTGAAAGACTAGCAAAATTAGTTAGAATTCACTAGTGAAGCCATCTGGGCTAACATTTTTTAATTTTTGTTTTGTGTGTTTATTTTGGGAGGAATTTTAATTACAAGTTCAGTTTCTTCAGTGAGACTGTTCAGATATTTTATTTCTTCTAGTGTCCCTTTTGTTAGATATAGTTTTTAGGAATATGCCCTTCTCATCCAAATTTCAGATTTATTGGAAGAAAGGCATTCATACAACCTCCTATCCTTTCATCCTCCATGGAATATGCAGTGATATTTCAGTTTTCATTCCTGATTGTTGTTATTTTACCTTCTTTCTCTCTTGTCTCTCTTTTTTCTTTTCCTCCTTTTTCCTTTTTCTTCTTTTTC